TAGAAAATTCATATATTAATGAAAATACACAGGTGAAATGAATACGTCAAATGTACATGTATATTGATCGTAACTAAATGATTAAATAATTTTTAAATATATATTGAAAAATGAAAAGTATGGTATAATTGAAATAATTGAATTATAGCAGTGTAATAATTGTTCAAAAAATAATTCTCAATTGAGGTGATATTTAAGAGATTATAGATATTCGAAACCACCTTATTATCCTTACAATGACGTGTTGGCATCAAATAGATGCACTCACCTTCATTTCGGTTCCAAAAATAACATATTCCATGAGGTTTATTTTTCATGACATAATAATATCACCCTAACAACAAAAAATAAATAGATACTTTCAATTTTACCCCTTAATTTCGAGATTATTATTTCATTATACTTATATTATTTTTTTCTTATTATTTATACAGATGTAATTTAAATGAGGTGATTAGTTTCATATTAGAAAAATCCCACTTAAATATTTTCATCCAAGTGTTAAGATTCGACATACTTCGCTAACTCTTGACTATCAAGACGTTCTTTTGATTTGATAGGCCTCGATGACCGAGGCAAAAACATTCGTCCCATGATACATGGGCATGCTATGGCCCTCTTCAAGGCTAATGTGGCAGTCTAGGTGGACTATATGTAATAGTGGCACTGCTATTTAATGAATAAACGATCAAATCTAAAATTATTTTTAAATAAATTCCATCTATATTCCAATATATTCGCCCCGAGTTTCTTTTATTAACATTACAAAAATAAACACGTGGAAGAGAACAAAAATTTAATATTCCAAAAACAAAAAATATAATTAATTAAATATCGAGTCAACATGCTAACAGACCCTCTACATCTAGACATTGACTATCTTTTGTCCGCGACATCATTTTGGTAGAACACCATCTATTTTGCTTATGTAACAAAATTTTTAAACGATTCACTCCTGCATTGAAGATGCTCTATGAATCTACCATTTTGTTGATTCTCAAAATCTATTGTCAAATGTTAAGATTCTTCCAATTTTTTTTTTTTTTTAAAGTTTACGAGAATCTAAAATTAATGTAATTGTGCATATTATAATGGAATCAAATAGATTTCGAAGTTTGAGAAAAAAGATAATTTCAAATTTAAGCCTAAAGACATAAGGGTGAGATGAGAGACAAATACTATTTTTTGTTCTTTTTTCCTTTTTATTTGTCTCTATAGAAGATTTTTGTAATTTTTAAATAAATAAGGAGCATAATTCTTAGTCAAGTACCTGAAAAAATATAGTATAATTTGCTCTAGAATTAAGAAAGAAAATCCAATTACGAATTTTATCCCTTTTTGCACCATGGTGGACGGAATACAGTAAACAAATAATTTTCAAATAAGTAAAATTCACTTATTGTGGAACAAAACTAAATACAAATAATTTGATGATAACCTATTAAAGATCAGTTATCTGATCGAGATTTTAGTATAGATGGTTATATCGATATCGAATCTTGCTTGGTGCACAGGGACCTGTTTCACAAGTCCTGCCAGGCAAGACATAGGTGGGGGCCCATTTTTTTTTAAAAATATATGTGGGGCCCTCCCCTTTGTGAGGGGCCTGTAACGCTTCTGCGAAACATTATTATGTACATTGGGCATTATTCTATTGATATTACAATTTTATATTTTTATATTGTCACATTTTAATTGCAATGGAGGCCTCAATTGAGCAAATTGAGATGGTAATGAAGCAGTACGGTTAATAAAGATCCAAATGATAATCAGATACCCGACACGTGTTATGATCACCTTTTAAACTTAAGACCCTAATAATAAATACATAAAATTCCGACTTTAATTTTAGCAATGAATCTAGACGAAGTGATCTATTATGTAATAAAATTGAATACAAGTAACTCGATCGCAACAAATTAAGAAAGTGTGTTTGTAAAATCGGGTGTTTACTAAACAATGAAAATAAAACCGACAGCACGTAGAGAAAGGCGGATTAGAAAGGGCCTATAGGCAACATCCCTTCCTTCCTTAAACTATATCTTAGGGTTTTGTGCCTCCGATTCTCTCTCGTGGCGAAGATACTTTCTCACTCCTCCGTTGAGTTCAGGTATACACAAGAACACCTCTTTCCTTCTCCATCTACTTCTTTGCTACCATGTTTAGCTAGCTTATAAGGTGTTTATAAGTTTTAATCTTCTGTTTGCTTTTCTTCTTCTTTTGATTTCTTTTTCCAAACCAAGTTTTTGTACATTGTTTATACATTTTGTGCCGTTGATTTTGTGGGACTTAATTTTTGTTTTTGGTGTTAGATAAAGCATTTTTCCGTTTCTGTCGCACAGACACAGAGCCGTACGTCCCTGTGAACGATGAGTCCTTTTTTTATTTCTTGTTTTGTGTTTGTTTTTCTTGAGGTTTACAAGATCCATTTTGATAATGAATTTACTCCAGAAGTGGGTTTAACTTGTTTACTGGGATTGATCTCTTCTTTTACAGATTTTTTTTTTTTTTTTGAATTTTCAGATTCTCCCATGGAAAATCATTATTCTGAGCATGTCATTGACTCATCATTCAACCTTCTTTCTTCGCCAATGTATTTTTAGTGGTGGGTTCATTTTTTAAGAGACAAAACGGAGAAATTTTTTATGAACATGGATTTTCAAGATTTTTCTCGTTAGGGTTTTTGAATCGTTTTTCTCACTCTTTCTGCATGTATACTCGAAGATATACGTTTTGAACCGTTTATTTTCTGAGTTCTGCATTTGTTTTTCCATTATTATTTTATTTTACTTCTTTTTTCCCCTCTCAGATCTTCACAAATAATTTGTTTTCGTCTTAGATTTATGCATGTCGGGTACGAGGTTGTCACTATTTTCTTTTTTTTAAAATCAAGTTTCAATTATTATTATTATTATTTTAATCTTTATGAGTGTTTAAATAATGAGTTGCTTTAACATCATTTGCAGTAATTATTATTGACCTTTCAGTGTCGTCGGATTAATTAATTGAGTTTTAAGTAATAAAGTAAGTATTAATTACTTGTCTGACGTCAAATAAGTCAGTTACATTGCTGTAATTTATTGAATCGATAATAATAATTCAAGATAATCATCAGCATTCTAATTTTACGTTATTTCATCTAATGAATTAATAATATTTTTTGGTTTTGATAGTGTTTGACAGATTTGTAATGGAACATTCAAAGGACGTTGTATCATCTGAAATGTTGCCTCCACCTCCGCCAGTTTTGCCGGCCAATGTGGTGCCACTGACGGCAAACCGTGTACCAATGGCTCGACGTGGTCTTGCTTCAAGAGGAACCAAAATTCAGTTGCAGACCAACCATTTTAAAGTTAGATTGCAGAACACAAAGGAGGACTTCTATCACTACAGTGTATCTTTCTAATTCTTGTTTAATCTGTACGTTTAGGGGTGGGGTATTTGCACATGAAGGTGGGCTCCATTAAAAAAAGTGGTGCCGTTCTCCGTAAGTGCCTCACGTGTCACCAAACGACGTTATTTTAACGCCACGTGCCTTTAAAAAATGTATACTTAAGGTTGTGTGTTGCATATTGGTGATGATAATACGTAGTCGACTCGAATTCCATATTTGCACGAGCCCTCCATGTTTTTTTCCCTTGGACAGAATGTTTCTTGTATTTAATGCCATGTCACCCGGAGTTGCGGACTACGCTGTTTTTTACACACACAAACATGCGTTTTTGTACATGCTGTGTTAGAAGCTGAGAGGAACATTATCTTATCTCTACTCATTAAGAGTTTTGCTACACAAACATAATGCTTGACATAGGGGATGACACAACACACACATGGGGGAGGTCGGCATTATTTAATTCAGGTCGGGACCCACATGCAATGTGAGAAGTCGATCAACCCTTATGTCAAACATTATGTTCATTTAGCTTAATTCACTCATTAATTTGTTTACATAGGTTGCCATGACGTACGAGGATGGTACACAAGTTGATGCAAAGAATGTAGGAAGGAGAGTACTCGAAAAGGTCCATGAGGTGTATTCTTCTTCTGATTTCAATGGTAAATATTTTGCGTATGACGGTGAGAAGAGTTTGTTTACTATTGGTTCTCTACCACGTAAAAAACTCGAGTTCACTGTTATCATGGATGATGTGTCGTCAAACAGGTACGTGAACTTTTTATCCATATTTTCTGGAAGTCTCAGTTTTCAGTTTTTTATCACTACTTTGAACATTATTACGAAATTACATTATAATATGATGAGATGTTATTGTCTACAGGAGACTGGAAAGTGGAAGCCTCGGAGGAGAAGGAAGCCCAATTGAGGGTGATAAGAAGAGGTCTCGTGGATTTTCTCGTTCTAAAACATACAAGGTTGCAATAAATTTTGCTGCCAAAATTCCAATTCAAGCGATTGCAAATGCCCTGAGAGGAATAGAGACTGAGCATTTTCAAGAAGCTGTGAGAGTGCTGGATATCATACTGCGACAGAATGCGGCTAAACAGTAAAAATCTTGCACGTTTTCCTAATTTTTTGTTGGGTGATAATGGTGTGCTCAAATGGGTTCTTTGTTTGCAGGGGTTGCCTTCTAGTCAGGCAATCTTTTTTTCACAATCATCCAAGAAACTTTGTGGAGATAGGGGGTGGTGTCGTTGGATGCCGAGGATTTCATTCGAGTTTCAGGGCCACCCAGGGAGGTCTTTCTCTCAACGTTGGTAAGCTTTCAACTTCAGTGAATTTTTATCAACCCTTTTATTTTCTGAACTTTAGTTGTAGAAATTTTAGACTACCTTTTTAATTGGCAGACGTATCCACTACAATGCTTGTTAAACCTGGACCAGTCATAAAATTTCTTCTTGACAATCAGAACGTCAGCCATCCTGATAAGATTAACTGGATCCAGGTAATCCACTGTTTCTGTCTCAACTTTTGCATTGCTGTGGCAATTGATGCTTTTACTCTTTACAACTATCAGCTTGCTTTCATAAACAGGCTAAAAAGACCCTGAAGAACCTTAGAGTTAAGGCTGCAAACTCTAATTTAGAATATAAAATCACTGGATTGAGTGAAGAGATATGCGGCAAGCAAAAGTGAGCTCTTGCGGCGAACTTTTCCATATTGTTCTTGTTTCAATCTCTGCTTTCTCAAATGCTGGGATTTTCTTAACCTTGAATTCTTGTTTTAGGTTCGCCATGAAACTAAGAAATGGAAAGGAGGGGGATCCCGAATCTGTAGAAGTGACAGTTTTCAAGTATTTTGTTGAACATCGGGATATAAAATTAGAGTATTCTGAAGCCTATCCATGTATCAATGTTGGGAAACCGAAGCGACCCACTTACATTCCAATTGAGGTACTCTTTTACTTCATGAACTGAAGCTTAATCTCTCTCATTTTGAGTTCACTGTGGTAGCGTGTTTACTTATTCCTTTCTAGCTCTGTGAATTGGTTTCCTTACAACGTTATACGAGAGCTCTGTCCGGTCAGCAAAAAGCTTCCCTTGTTGAAAAATCCCGTCAGAAGCCACAAGAACGGAAGACAGCTTTGTCTCAAGTAAGTTTCAAAGATTTTCTAAGTCTTGCTTTCTTTAATTTTTCATTTTGTAGATTCTAATGATTGCTAACCTTTGAGTGCAGGCACTTGGTACAAGCAATTACAATGCTGACCCTCTTCTTTCGTCTTCTGGAATTTCTATTAATGGAGAGTTCACCACAGTTCAAGGTCGCGTCTTGGCACCCCCCAAGGTAACAATTTTCTAAATTAAGATGGCTAGCATTTCATTAGTCATATATGGATTGTTTTAACCAGGTTGAGGAGTGGGAAATGGCAAAAGAGTGTTTTTTTTAAATCTCCTTATCCTTCTTATTTTCTTGCAGTTGACAGTGGGTAAAAATGAGAACTTCATCCCTCGCAATGGAAGGTGGAACTTTAACAACAAGGTATACTTCTTTGGACACTTCATTTTTTTTTTTCATTGGTACATTGAAACCGTGTTATTGGTGGTATTGACACAAGCTATGTCTGTGCAGACATTGGTTGATCCTAAGAACATTGAACGCTGGTGCATTGTAAACTTCAATGCTCGCTGTGATTTGCAAAATTTGTCTCGTAGTCTAATCAGATGTGGTCAAATGAAAGGAATTGTCAGTATTTCCATCTTCTGTTAATTTGAATCTGAAACTCTATAAAATTTTCAGATTTGTTATTGATGTTATCTTTTATTCATTTATCTCTTTCTTGTAGACGATTAGTGAACCCTTTAAAGTGTTTCAAGAGCGTCGTGAGCTTTCAAATAGACCGCCTTCTTTTAGGGTGGAGAAGATGATTGAGGAGATACAGTCAAATCTTCCAGGAGCGCCTCAGTTTCTCCTCTGCCTTCTCCCTGAGAGAAAAAACTCTAAACTCTATGGTTGAGACATGATCTTTGCTTATTTCTCTAATCTCTGCTATTCCCTCTTATATACAATCATGATTTTTTTTTGTTAATCTTATTGAAGGGCCATGGAAGAAGAGGAATCTTTCGGATCTTGGGGTAGTTACTCAGTGCATTTCACCTCAGAGGGTGAATGATCAGTACCTCACTAATGTACTCTTGAAGATAAATGCCAAGGCAAGTCGTGTCATCCAAAATAGACCAGTTAATAAGTATGTGATTTCTTTAGTACGTATCCATACTCATCTTTTCTTCTCTTTAATGTTTTCCTTCCAGTTGGGTGGTATTAATTCCCTGTTAGCTATTGAAAATTCTCATTCCATACCCACGATTTCAGAAGTTCCAACCCTTATTGTTGGAATGGATGTATCCCATGGATCGGCTACTCGTCCCGATCTTCCCTCAATTGCTGCGGTATTTTATACTTCACCACATTTCTCAGTCATTTTCTAAATGTTCTCTCATCTGAGTTCGTAGCACCATATTATATATCTGATATAGTTTCTTTTGTACAATGGAATCACAAGGTTGTTAGTTCAAGACAATGGCCCCTGATTTCTCGTTATCGTGCTGCTGTTCGTACTCAGTCACCAAAACTTGAAATGATAGATTCCTTGTTTAAGCCAGTGGAATTTACGAAGGATCAGAAAGTGGAGACAGTGGATCAGGGTATTTTCAGGTTGGTTTGGACTCATTTTGTGCCTTTCTAATCACGTGTTATTCTCCACAGGTTATTTGGTTTCAATATAGAAGGACATATATTTTGAAAATGATTTCTATATCAGAAAGTATTATATACTCGATTTGTTTCTTAAAGAAATTTATATGGATTCTCAGGGAGCTGTTAATGGACTTCTACCAAAGTTCTGAAGGAAAGAAACCCGAGCACATAATTATTTTCAGGTACCGTATTATCCTAATGAAGAATGCAAAAAATTATCCTTTTCCTAATTTCTCAGCTAGATTCCAATCGGTCTAACTCATTCCTAGTACAATATAAGTTGACAGTGCTTTGCTTATTTGGCATCTATAGAGAATTAATAGAGTAGTCATGTTAATATTCAGTTTAGCTTCACTATGAATGGGAATACTTGTCTGAGGCTTTTCTTATGATCATAACCTGAATTTGCAAGATGCATAAAAGAAATACTGCAAGATTGCGTCGTTTATACTCTTGGATTTGAGAGTATTTGTGCCGAATAAAAGAAATTTTATATTTTTGTTGAAATATCTCCACTTGTAATTTGTAGGGATGGAGTGAGCGAGTCTCAATTCAATCAAGTTTTGAACATTGAGCTGGATCAAATTCTTGAGGCATGTCTGTTTCTTTCAGACTGAAAACCAGTAACGGTAACTTTTAATGTGAGTCATCTCTTTTTCCATCTTGTATTCTGAGAGCTTTCAATTTTTGCAGGCTTGCAAGTTTCTCGATGCACAATGGTTCCCCAAGTTCACAGTTGTTGTAGCACAAAAGAATCACCACACCAAATTTTTCCAAGCCAATTCTCCAGACAATGTCCCACCTGGTAATTTATTAACATTATTCACCAAAAGTGGTTACATTTACTTCATTGAACTTATCTGATATTCTTAATGTACAGGGACTGTGATTGACAGTGGAATTTGTCATGCGAAGAACAATGACTTCTACATGTGTGCTCATGCGGGAATGATTGTGAGTTTTGATTCATATTCATCTGTTTATACTTTATGCAAATTTACGATTTCTAAATAATAATTATATGGTTTACAGGGAACAACTCGGCCTACTCACTATCACGTGTTACACGATGAGATTGGCTTCTCTGCGGATGATTTACAGGAGCTAGTTCATTCTCTGTCATATGTGTGAGTAAACTTTAACTGCCATCTTGTTACTTGTAATATTTGTATTAATTATGCTTTATTTTCTGTTGAACTTCATTATACCACTTACTAACAAATAGACAACTTGAATTTTCAGGTACCAAAGGAGCACTACTGCCATCTCTATAGGTAATGAACTTGCTAACATCTTTTTGCTTCTTTTAATACTATTTTCTCTCTTGGCGTATAAAAAAACCTTTTGTTCGCAGCCCTCTGCACAAGCTTTCGTCTATTCATTTCTTTTACTAAACTTCATTTTCCTGCTGCAGTTGCTCCAATATGTTATGCCCACTTAGCGGCAAGTCAGATGTCCCAATTCATAAAGTTTGAGGAACAATCTGAGCAGTCATCTGGCCATGGAGGATTGTCGGCAGTGCCCGAGTTACCCAAACTGCATAGACATGTCAGCAGTTCTATGTTCTTTTGTTAAGGAACACGGGGCACTTGGTTTCGAGAGATAGTTAGAAAAAGGAACAACATTGCATTGTCTCGCTTTTTGTCTATTACTCAGTACTTCTGGTAGATCTTTTGTTCTGAATTTGCACTCGTTCAGACATTTTCCAACTATATGTTGGGAAGCTTTGATCGAATGGATGCATATTATATTCTAAGCTGTAGCACTGACCATTCAGTAACTATCTTTCGAGTCCCAATATGATGTCTCAGTAACTTATATGCTACCCGGCATGATAATAATTTGAAGATAGTTAGCATTACTTTGTCAATCCAGAATCTACTTATGAACTTTAAAGCAAAACTGAAACTATTTTTACTATTTGAAAAAATGTTAAAGTTCGGTTGTGAAATAACGTTGAAAGTACAGTGTCTATTAAGTTCGACATAACGTTGAAATCGCATTGGTCATTAGAAAATTTCCCCCTTTGCTGGCATATCAATAATCTGCAATGACTTACTGTTCTGCATCAGGAGAGGTATTGCCAACCATGCTACTTGTACAGGGCATGGTTGACAAAAATGGATG